TTTTTTTGAGACGGAGTCTTGCTCTTGTCGCCCAGACTGGAGTGCAGTAGTGTGATCCTGGCTCACTGCAACCTCCGCCTTCCAGGTTCAAGTGATTCTCCTGCCTCAGCCTCCCTAGTAGCTGGGATTACAGGCTTGCACCACCATGCCTGGCTAATTTTTGTATTTTTAGTAGAGACGGGTTTCACCATGTTGGCCAGGCTGGTCTCGAACTCCCAACCTCATGATCCACCTGCCTCAGCCTCCCAAAGTGCTGGGATTACAGGCGTGAGCCACTGCACCTTACAACATACTTTTATTTCTCTTGGGAAGACCCCTGGGGTAGAATCTTCCATATGACCCAATCATATGATACAATTCTGCTTTGTTTTTTAAGAAACTGCTAACCTGTTTTAAAAGTAGTACTCCACGTCTTGACCAGGGTGGGTGGTAGTTTCATGGGGTCTCATTTTGTAAATTATTAGTTACATTATATATTTATGCACTGTCTGTACTTCTTCTATTTTACAACTTTAAAAGAGTCAAGAAATGGCTGGGTGCGGTGGCTCATGCCTGTAATCCCAGCACTTCGGGAGGCTGAGGCGAGAGGATCACAAGGTCAGGAGTTCAAGACCAGCATGGCCAACATGCTGAAACCCCGTCTCTACTAAAAATACAAAAATTAGCCAGGTGTGGTGGCATGTGCCTGTAATCCCAGCTACTCAGGAGGCTGAGACAGGAGAATTGCTTGAACCCAGGAGGCGGAGGTTGTGCCACTGCACTGCAGCCTGGGTGGCAAAGCGAGACTCTGTCTCAAAAAAAAAGAAGTCAAGAAACAAGTTGTGGGCGAGGGGTCGTGAGTGGAGTCAACTCGGGGAAGGTTTTCTACAAGGGGCAGCACTTAGGGATGCTGTTCTGAGAGCCCTGGAGAAGGAGCAACTGGGAAAAGGAATCCTACAGGAATCTCACAGGAGGGGCTCCAACACCCATCAGACTCAGCCCCTGGGCAGGTATACACAAATAAGTGCGGCTCTCCTAAGTTTTCCTCCCTTGGGGGGTCTGTCTCTAATGGTTGTGACTAGGATGGTGGGCAGGCATCAGGTGTGCTGGGTTCGGGTACTCACAGCCTGCCTTTCCTGGGAGTGGGGAGCCTGCAGTCCTGCAGGGGCTGACGGTGGAGTATCATCTGCTAATCCCTGGCCTGCTGAGGCCACCACTCTCCCTGATCCCCTCACGCTTACCCTGGATACTGGCCACAGATAATCCCCACCCCTAGAGACTCAAGGGCTGGCAGACAGTGCAGTGCCCTCTTCCCTGAGGTTTTCAGGAAGGGGAGATCCCTCTCGGCATCCAGATCCTCCTAATGGCAGGCCCTAGAGTCCCTGCCTAATGCAGAGGAGAGCCTGGAGGCCCAGAGAGGTGTGGTAACTAGCCCAGGGTCACACAGCCTGCAGTGGACTCAGCAGCCATTTCTGGCCTGTCTTGGCCTGACCACCTCCAGAGAACTCCTGCTCCCTGTCTGACACTTCCCAAGATGCCTGGCCTGTGCTGAGGCCTGGGAGACCACAGCCTTCAGGAAGGCTAGAAGGGAGTGGCCAGAGCACAGAAATTCTAGCACAGGCTCTTCTTAGAGCCAGCAGTTGCCGGGTTGCTAAGGAGTGGGTACTCAGAATCAGGCTGCAATGGGCATTGTGTGTGCACAATATTCCTTTATTCTGCTGTTGTCCATAATAAGGGACCCACCCACCTCACTTCCTCTTCTGCCCATTGAGCAGTCAAAGAGCTGAAAGTCCTTATAAGCCTGTGCACCTGGGCCTGGGCCCTACCGATAAGGTAGCTGCTATTGGTGGGTCAGAAGCAGGGAGCCCCCATCCGTCTCTTCCCTGTCTCAGTGAGTCCTCTCCCTTTCCCTCTCCAGGCAGTCCCATCCCCTAAGGCAGCTTCCCCTTGCCTTGTCACCATGCCCCTTCCCTGCTCCTCCATGATCTAAGGTCCTCTCTCCTCCTGCCACCCTTGCTCCCACCTCTAGCTCTCACCTCTAACTTAGGGTCAGGAAGAAAGCAAGCTGCCTTGAGAAATTCTCACTAAAGTGTAAATGGCTGAAAGGCTCCTGGGACTATCTGCTTTTTAAAGGGAGGCACTGGGTATCCAGTAATGCTTTTCTAGTTCAAATATATCATGTTGCTCCCCTTCCTAAAAATCTTTGTGAGTCAATCCGTAGAATCTTGGGCAAATACCTTAGCTAAGGCAAGCCCATAATCATTCACCCAGAAGCATACTGCATACGGAGCTACATTTTGAACCCACTTGCTTCTGCCCTTTCCCGCACATTATTTAAGAATAGACTCTCCAGGCGTGGTGGCTCACACCTGTAATCCCAGCACTTTGAGAGGCTGAGGCAGGTGGATCACTTGAGGTCAGGAGTTCAAGACCAGCCTGGCCAACACAGTGAAACCCTGTTTCTACTAAAAATACGAAAACTAGTCGGGTGTGGTGGTGGGTGCCTGAAATCTCAGTTCCTCGGGAGGCTGAGTCAGGAGAATCACTTCAACCTGGGAGGCGGAGGTTGCAGTGAGCCAAGATTATGCCACTGCACATCAGCCTAAGCAAAAGAGTGAGACTCTGTCTCAAAAAAAAAAAAAAATAGACTAAAATACCACCCCTTTTAGACCACTTCTTGAATGCCCCAACCCCAGCCTCCCCAGAAAAACACAAACACTCTGTACTGACCTCCCTCACAGCCATGGCACAACGTGTGTGTGTGTGTGTGTGTGTGTGTGTGTGTGTGTGTTGGGAGGGCACTGGGAGGGTTATCTCTGTTGTTCTCTGTTATCTGAATGTTCCTGCCACCCCATGCTGAGCTTCTGAATGACGGCCTGGCACAAAGTAGGTGCTAAATAAATGTTTCACAAGTAGACATCGCCATTGGCCAAAGTTGTGTTTCTGCAGAGAAGGGTGTCTGGCCAGCATGAGCTCAGGGTGAGCTCCTTAGAACCCTCTGCCCCCCAGCTATGGCCCGCATCATCGACCTGGTGCCCTGGGACGATGGCTCCACTCATGTGTATGCCTCCCCGGCCATCCTGCTTCCCGTGGAGCGGCAGCGCAACCAGCTGGCGGGCATGAAGCAGCAGCTCTACCACCCGGCCCTGCCCACCCTGCGCCACATGGACAGGGACACTGTCAAGGCCTGCCTTCCTGATGAGCACTGCCAGTCTACCACCTACTGCCGCAAAGGTCAGGCTGCTGGTGCAGGATCCCCTTTGGGGAAGGGGTAGGTGGTTTTAAGAAAGGTGACATGCAGGGATGGAAGAGGCCAGTCCCAGCGCTTCTGCTCCCTGCCCAGGACACTTTGGCCAGGTCTGAGCCTCTGTTTACTGCTCAGTAAAATGAGGAGAATGACAGGACCTGCCTCGAAGGGTTGTTGTGGGGTTAGGAGATAAAGTGCAAAAAGCACTCAGAGGCCAGGTGCAGTGGCTCACACCTGTAATCCCAGCACTTCAGGAGGCTGAGGCGGGCAGATCACCTGGGGTCAGGAGTTCAAGAACAGCCTGGCCAACATGGTGAAACCCCGTCTCTACTAAAAATACAAAAATTAGCCAGGCGTGGTGGCAGGTACCTGTAATCCCAGCTACTCAGGAGACTGAGGCAGAAGAATCACTTGAACCCAGGAGGCAGAGGTTGCCGTGAGATGAGAATGCGCCAAAAACCACCAGCATGGAGAACAAGGCCCCCATCTCAAAAAAAAAAAAAAAAAAAAAAAGTAGTGCCTGGCACATAATATCTGCTCAAAAAATGTTGCTGATGCCATTATTGTTATTGTTGTTTTGTTTTGTTTTTGTTTTGGGGAAACAGTGTCTTACTCTGTTGCCCAGGCTGGAGTGCAGTGGCATGATCATGGCTCACTGCAGCCTTGACCTCCCAGGCCCAAATAATCCTCCCACCTTAGCCTCCTAAGTAGCTGGGACCACAGGCACGTGCCACCATGCCCAGCTAATTTTTTAAAATCATTTGTAGAGACAGGGTCTCCCTATGTTGCCCAACCTGGTCTCAAACTCCTGGGCTCAAACGATCCTCCTGTCTTGGCCTCCCAAAGTGCTAAGATTACAGGCGTGAGCTGCTGTGCCTAGTCTGTTGTAATGAATGGGGAGAGAACTGGGCAGAGGCTGGTAGGTGCAGTGGTAGGAGTCACAGCAGTAACAACTTCTCCCCAAGCCTCTCTGCATGTGGAAAAGAGAGAAAAAGACCCCTCCTCACAGCCCCCCTGCAGGAGAGGAAGACGTGTGGGCCTTCAGGGCAAAAGACCCCCACGGGCCTAGTGAATAACCCCGCAAGGACTGAGGAGCTTGTGTGTGGAGGGATTTAGAAGGTATTTAGCAGATCAAGTGAACAGGAGAAGGTGCAGGCAGGGCGAGGTAGGAGGCGGAAGAGGGAGAGTGCAGGCCCATACCTAGGCTCCAGCTTCGGTGACAGGCAGGCTGAGGATGTCAGAAACCACATGGAGATCACCAGAGTTGCTATATGGACCCTAATGGGAAACGCAAATGAGAGAAGTGGGTGGGGAGGCCATGGGAGGGGAGAATCCACAGGGAAATGGGGCACCCACACCTGCCCTGTTTAAACGGCAGCTACAGGGCTCCGCACAGACTGTGCTATGTTGGAGGGTCCAGCCAGGTCACCAGTTCTTCCAATTTCCTGCTTCCAAGAGAAGCCAGGAATCTAGATTTTTAAGGGAAGCTCTGAGGTAGATATGTATTTTATTGTAAGCATATGCTTTAAATAAAAGTAATAGTGGCAACTTCAAAACTCAAAATGCTGTAACAATACGCACAGCAGCAAGTCTCGCTCCCACTGCCTCCATTACGGGTAATCCCCCACCATTCTTAGTGTCTGACTTACTAATGGGAATACAAACACATGTTATTTTGTTCTCCAACTTTCTATTAATGTTAACTGAAAAATTAGAAATTTATAAATTTAGGCAGGGCATGGTGGCTCACGCCTGTAATCCCAGCACTTTAGGAGGCCAAGGCAGGCAGATCACTTGAGGTCAGGAGTTCGAGAACAGCCTGGCCAACATGGTGAAACCCCCATCTTTACTAAAAATATAAAAATTAGCCGGGTGGGGTAGCAGGTACCTGTAATCCCAGCTACTCGCAAGGCTGAGGCAGGAGAATTGCTTGTACCCAGGAGGCGGAGGTTATAGTGAACCGAGATCGGGCTTAACCCTTGCCTGGCATGGTCTTAGGTCTTGTTAATAATTTGGTATCTTATTGCCACAAGGAGTCTGTTCTCTTAGTCTTGTGACCTCTGTCTCCCTCTTTTTTTTTTTTTCTTTTGAGACAGAGTCTTGCTCTGTTGCCCAGGCTGGAGTAGAGCGACATGACCTTGGCTCACTGTAACAGGATTTTGCTCTGTCACCCAGGTAGAAGTGCAGTGGCATGATCACTGAAGCCTCAACCTCCTGGACTCAAGTGAGCCTCCTGCCTCAGCTTCCCAGGTAGCTGGGGTTACAGGTACATGCCACCAGGCCTGGCTAATTTTTGTACTTTCAGTAGAGACAGAGTTTCATTATGTTGGTCAGGCTGGTCTCGAACTCCTGACCTCAAGTGATCCACCCGCCTCTGCCTCCCAAAGTGCTGGGATTACAGGCGTGAGCCATCGTGCCTGGCCTCAAAAAATTTTTTAAAGTACAGTGTGAGCCAAAGTTCTCCTATGACCTCTGACCACTGGTGAAGGAGATACTTCTCCCTTTCTCTTGTTTCAACAGATGAGTTTGACAACACCCATTTTACCCTCCTTGGGATCCCCAACAAATCCCTGCAGTGCTTGGTGAGCGTCCTTTGCCCTACCCCTGGGTTTGCTAAGGGGCACCAACCTCAAGCACCTCTGGTCCTGGGATCTACTCGCCCAGCACCGCCTCAGGTGCCTGCTTGGGACTCACCTCCCCACATCACCCCATCCGGGTTCTTGACTTCGGGTGCCCCCTCTGTCAGATGCCCCAGTCCAGTTGCCAGCTTAGGTCTTTGGGGTGGACTGGGATGGCTGCCTTAGGTTCCTGCAGCTACGGCTGCGCGACCCTGATCCCCGTGGACCTGGCAGGACATCACTGCGACAGGCCAGAAGCTGCGCCACAGGTACCAGGAGGGAAAGCTGGCGCCTGTCGCGCCGGGCATCAACCGAGTGGACTGGCCCTGCTTCACTCGCGCCATAGAGGACTGGTCCCGCTTTGTGTCCTCGGCCAGGGAGTTCAAGCTGCCCTGCCTGAGCAAGAGAGGTCAGTCTACGGGCGGCTGAAGGAACTGCCGGGCAGGTGGGCCGCGGGGCTGGACAGGGAGCCTGGACTGCGGGCAGGAGCGTGGGGGGCGAGAGGGGCAGAAGAGACAGGGCGGGGCCGCTGGGGTGCAGCGGTGGCACTTGCGGCGGGTGGGTCAGAGTCGTGCGCGCGGACCTGGAGGCGGGGCTTCCCGTGGGGACCGAGCCAGGCGGAGCAGTCAAGGCGGGGACTTTGCCCTAGAGGGGCAGCGGAGGCGGGGCCTGTTCTCCGAACGCGAGTGGGCGGGGCTTGGTTTGGGCGGGGCTTTCCTGGGGCGGTCCTGGGGGGGGCGGGGCGCTCGAGAGAGGCTCTCTGTCCTCAGTGGAGGGTTTCAGCGGCTACGCGGTGCGGTACTTGAAGCCGGACGTGACCCAGAGCTGGCGGGTAGGGAGCGCTGCGCGCAGACCCGTCCCTGGGGGGGTTCTGGGGGGAGCGGCGTAAACCGGGAGTTGGGGAGGGAGGAGACCCAGAGCAGGGCCTCTCAGTCTTGAGGACCACGGTCTCAAGCAGGGAGCACTGTGTGGGGCGTGGGCGGGGCGTCCGTGCTCCCCCGACTCACTCCCCGACTCACCGCGCCCCCATCCCTGCTGCCCGCCGCAGTACTGCCTCAACCAGAACCCCAGCCTGGACCGCTACGGACAGAAGCCCCTGCCTTTCGACTCCCTGTAAGTGACGCCACGCACCCCGGGACCCACATCCGGAGGAGGGAGGATGGGGTCTGGGCCGCTTTCCTAGCGCACAGGCAGTGGCCCTTGAAAACGTGAGATCTGGGAAAAATTGATTGATTGGCTCTAATATACTACAAACAAATTGCAATTTCAAAATGAATACATGTGTAATTCCTACTACACAGAGTATCTTGCTATCCCTGGCAACTCCACCCTTTCGGAGTGGAGGCATTTGGGTTGGGTAAAGGCGCCCTGGAACCCTTCAGGAGGGATGGCAGGGAGAGGGGGTGGCTCCCGAGGTGCGAGTGAGGTGCCCAGAGAGGATCGTCCCCCACCCTCCGGCTCACCTCCCCCCCTCCCCCGTTCTTCCCCAGGAACACTTTTCGAAGCTTCGGCTCCAGCTACAGGTAGGGGAACTGGCCTTGTCCCGCGCCACAGCCGACCACCTTCCCATCTGACCAATGCGGGGGGGGCAGCCTCGGGGCTCCGCGACTCTCAGACTCCCCTGCCCCGGCGAGGCCTGGCGTGGAGGAGGTGCCCTCCTGGGAGAATGCGAGCTGCTTCGCTCTGGCGAGATCCGCCCCTGGCAAATATGCAGCCCACTGGGGTGGGGGTAGGTGCGGGAGGGGGTCCATTTCACCAGGTTTGACCGGAGGAGGCCAAAAGGGTGAGGCAGTGATGTTACATGAAGGAGAGAAAACAGACAAAAAAGAAACGCCAGGGAGAGAGGCAAGAATCTGCCTCCTGGAGTGCTGAGAGGCTCTAAGGGGAGGGGCCAAGTGGTGTTCCCAGCAGGGTCGCCCCACTAGTAAAAGCTTGGAGATAAGAACAAGAATGGAGGTTGCAAGATATGCAAACATTTTCATAACTGAGCCATGTCTCACCTTCCCAGCCCCAGTTTGTACACTCTGGCAAGACTAGACTCCGCCGAAATCCAGCAGACCACCAAGCACTCCTCACACCTTTGCCTGTGCAGTTTTAGCGCCTAGATGGCCCTTCCTCCTCTGCCTGCAAAACTCCTTCGTGTTTTGTTGTTGTTTTGTTTTTTGTTTTGTTTTGTTTTTTTGAGATAGAGTCTCGCTCTGTCGCCCAGGCTGGAGTGCAATGGTTCGTGGGATCGCGGCTCACTGCAACCTCTGCCTCCCAGGTTCAAGCGATTCTCCCGACTCAGCTTCCTGAGCAGCTGGGATTACAGGCATGCATCTCCACACTCAGCTAATTTTTGTATTTTTAGTAGAGACAGGGATTCATCATGTTGGTCAGGCTGGTCTCGAACTCCTGACCTTGTGATCCCCCTGCCTCAGCTTCCCAAAGTGCTGGGATTACAGGCGTAAGCCACTGCGCCCGGCCTCCTTTGTGCTCTTTAAAGCCCAGCACAGATGTGCTATCCTCCTTGAAGTTTTGCAGTCCCTCTGCCTCTCCCCACCAGCTCACATTCCCTCCCACTGGTCACCACCTGTGTGTCACCCATCTTATAGCATCCAGACTATTGCCCTGTCATTATTGACAGAAATTAGACTTCCCCTCTCCCACAGCGGGGAGGGGGAACGTTTCTGGGTTTTGCTACCATATGATGCCTAACAGAGTAGGTTCACTAAATGATTGAAAAATGGGTGAAGCTGTTCATAGTTAGGAATCAGTGGGAGAGAGGGATGAGGCAAACTCAAAGGAGGGGCGTTAGTTTGAAAGCTAAGGAGGACAGCTGAAAATGCAGAAAACAGGGAGCTATTGAAGGCTCCTGAGCCACATTGAGGCTGGCTGGAAGCTGTGTTTTCAGAGCCTAGAGGGGGAAAGCCTGGTTTTTCCCCCAGGACACCCTGGAAGTCCCCACCTCACCCCTGCTTCTCTTCACAGTCGTGTCAACTACCTGACCCCCTGGCATTAATCTCTGGAAAGGAGGCTGCCAGACTATGCCACCTCAGGTCCCTTGGCCGGACCAAGGACTTATGGTGGCACCAGCCATCTCCCCAGTAATTCAGCCTAACTAGAAATAAACCTAATGCTCCCTTAGAGAGACTTGCAATTGTGTGTGTGCGTGTGTATGTGTGTTGCAGAGACTGGGAGAGGGCCAGGACCATAGGATGACAGTATCTTACCCTTAGCTGCCCTGTGCCAACTTCTGGAGGACTGGTGGTGGGGGGCTGGAGAAGAATGTTTGGTGACCCTGGAGATTCAGGGTGTAAGTCCCAAGACCCAGCCAGAATTGAGGTGCAAGAGCAAGAGATGTTTTCCTGCCCCTGTGCCTGCAGCCCCACATCACTTCAGATCCTGTATTTGAGCCCTAAGGAGGGAGGGAGGGGGCTAGAAAGCTATTTTTAGGTGACTTTTTGAAGCTCTTGTTATACTGGTGTGCACGGGGAGGGGCCTTCCTGTGCCTAGGATCCCTCTGAAGGTGTCAGGGCAGGCTGGAGCAAGGGCAGCTGGCCTGGCCTATGGCCATGATTCCTGTGAAGCAACAAAATGTAGAATTTAAGCTTGCATGAGATGTATGAGGTCACTCAGAGAAGAAAGTTCCCTGTTCCCCAAGGCACACCAATAAACATATCATCTAAGCAAAAAGTCTTCTACTCTATTCATTAAGCTTCAGGACTAGCCCTCGTCTGCCCACCAACCGTCCATTCCAAGCCACTCCTATGAAAGGAAGGTATGATGTCCTGGGGACAATGTGGGGACTCCTGGTCCAGGTCTGAAATAACCCCATCCGGGGCGCTAAGGAAGAGCATCTCCAGCATGGGAAGGGGGTGTATTAGTCTGTTTTCATGCTGCTGATAAAGATATACCTGAGACTGTGAAGAGAAAGAGGTTTAATGGACTCACAGTTCCACGTGGCTGGGGAGGCCTCAGAATCATGGTGGAAGGCGAAAAACACTTCTTACATGGCGGCAGCAGGAAAGAATGAGAGCCAAGCAAGAGGGATACCCCTTATAAAACCATCAGATCTCGTGAGACTTCACTACCTCGAGAACAGTATGGGGGAAGCACCCCTGTGATTCAATTATCTTCCACTAGCTCCCTCCCACAACCCGAGGGAATTGTGGGAGCTACAATTCAAGATGAGATTTGGGTGGAGGCATAGGGTATAGGGCTTCTAGCATCTATGCTTAACTCCAGGACTTTCCAGATACCCTACCCCCCCCACACCTGTGGGCAGCTGGCAAGCATGCACCCAGATCAGGGTAAATAGCTACCAAGCTAAAAATCTACATGTATAGGACTAAAGCACCTTGCCATCCCTGGCCACTCCACCCTCAGGTCCTGTAACCTGAAGCTTATGGGACCCACAGTCCTCCTGAAATCATGTGTCCACCTTGGGACTGCACTTGGGAAGCCACTGGCAGAGCCCCCAGGAGTGTCAGAGCCACATTCTGTGCCACCCAGTGTCCCCTCCAAATGACAACTCAGAGAAAAGCCGGACTTGCCCAGGGCTCACAGCAGGGATGCTAGGGTCCTGGCCTGGGAGAGGTGGGACAGCCAGAGAACTCCAGTCGACATGCTGAAGCCTACAAGATGGAATCAAGTGCAGGGGTGTTTTTCCTGGCCCCGCTTCCTTGTATAACTGGGCAAGTCCCTGCCAGAATACAGCCCAGCAAACACTAAAGGCCCTTTGCTGGGTGCTTGGAGGACACAGACAAGATGTCCTCCCTGCCTTCCCTGCCTGTGAAGTGCTTCCAGTCCAGCAGGTCCAGCCAGTGCAAACCAGAAAGTGGAGGTGATAACACGAGTACACACCTAGACCATGTTCTTCCAGCCCAAGACGCCATGAATGGCAACCCACACCAGCAATTTAATTAAACTTCTTGTCCACTGATTGTACATTGAATCTCGATTTCACAAAAAAATGTGTGCCTAAGAATAAAGGAAATGTGGAGTAGCTAAGGATAAATAAGCCTGCTTTCACGTGCAATTTCTATTTTTAAGTGGAAGGCAATGCATTAACCACCTTGCAGACCCCACGAGATGGGTAACTTTAGACCCACTTTACAGACGATGAAATAGACTCACAAAGGTTAAATGGCTAGCCCAAGATCTGGTGATTGGCAAAGCAGAGAACTGAAACCAGCCTGCCTGAACCCCCCAGCCCCAGCCCCTGCCTGTGGCCACTAGGCTGTATCACCTTCCTGCTACGGGATAGATGCAAATCAAGAATGGGGGCTTCCTGGGGGTGGGGGCATCTGACTAGGGCTTAGAGGGGGATAGGATATCCCATCAAAAAGCTCTCTTGGGGCTGGGCAAGGTGGCTTACACCTGTAATCCCAGCACTTTGGGAGGCCGAGGCGGGTGGACCACCTGATGCCAGGAGTTCAAGACCAGCCTGGCCAACATGGCAAAAACCATCTCTCCTAAAACTACAAAAATTATCTAGATGTAGTGATACATACCTGTAATCCCAGCTACTCTGGAGGCTGAGGCAGGAGAATCACTTGAACCCAGGAGGCGGAGGTTGCAGTGAACCAAGATCAGGTCACTATATTCCAGGCTGGGCAAAGAGCCAGACTCCATCTAAAAACGAACAAACCAACCCAGAAAGCTCTCTGGGAGTTGCGGACAGTGGCAGAATCTGCATGCTGAGAATCCCACCTGGAGGCCAAAGGCTAGAGCCTGAGAGATGGAAAGCAGCCCATCCCTACCCAGGCGGGGCCACTGACTCCCAGCATGGTGACACCTCCTCTCAGCATCCACGGGCTCTTTGATCATCATAAATAAATCACGTCGGAAACTTTCCCTGCAGCCATGGCTTTGGGGACAGTCCAGACTCCATGGCCTTGCCTCTAGGCTTTCCAGGGCCTGACCCCAATCCACTACCATGACCTTTTATCCCAACACGAACCCACCTACCATCTCCTTGCGGTTCCAGAGCATCTGGGCTTCTGTCTGCCTCCAACCTTTGTTCAAAGCCTTCCTTTCACCAGAAATGCCTTCTCCCACCTCTTCCTACCCAAATCCCACCCTGTGTTCAGGCAGGTTGCTCTCAAGTCCTCCCTTCTCCTCTCAACTCTTCTCCCAAATCACAAGGACAGAGACTGTAGCTGTCTTCGAGGGCTAACTCATGCCTCTGGTCCCCATGTGCTCACTCGCCGGCTCCTCTTATTTTTTTTTTTTTTTTTTTTTTTTTTTTTTTGAGACAGAGTCTTGCTCTTTTCACACAGGTTGGATTTCAATCGTATGATATTGATTTACTGTAACCTCGACCTCCTGGGTTCAAGTGATTCTCTTGCCTCAGCTTCCTGAGTAGCTGGGATTACAGCGCTCACCACTACACCTGGCTAATTTTTATATTTTTAGTAAAAACAGCGTTTTGCCATGTTGGCCAGGCTGGTCTCAAACTCCAGACCTCATGACTGCCCACCTCAGCCTCCCAAAATACTGGGATTACAGGCATGAGCCACCATGCCTGGCCCGGCTCCTCTTATTCTAACTGGACCTGGGGCTCAGGAATGGGATCTGTGGTCTCTTCTAGAATCAACACACCAATCAGGACCAAATTAACTACTGCAAAGTTATAGTGGTGTCGATTACAAAGTCACCTGCAAAACGATGTTCTAACCCAGGGACAGGGGCTGGCAATGGGGGAAGTGGGGGGGTAGGGTGAGGGTCCAAGCTGCAGGCAGGGGTGGGGTAGGGGTCAGAGAGGACTCTTGCACATCATATTTTGAACCAGATATTAGCAGTTTTGACATTTTTTGGCCATACCTTTTGATACACAAAATCTCAAAACCTTCTCATCTGAACTTTGTACCTTGTGCCCTGAAGCACCTGCTCAGCGCCTGGCAAACAATAAGTGCTCAGTAATGCTTGTGGATGAACAAGGCAGGAAGGCAGACCCAGGATGGGGAGGAGAAACACGTAGTAAAGAGGGAGCCCTCCCCTTTCCTCCAGTTCATGGCCCTGAGGAAGACAGTGTATTCTGGCTGGAATCTTTGTAGACGAGAAAATCAGTAGTGGCCAAGGCTTTTCTAGGACATACCATCTTCAAGGAACCAATAAAACATCTACTTGAGGATGGGATGTGGAGCTCATAGGACAGCCTGATCCTCCTACGTTGGAGGCTGGGGGGCCTAGGGCCTCTGTGGCGCTGCTTCTGTACATCTGGGAAGATGGAGCGCAGGGGCTTTGATTCTTCGAGGAGTTGAGAGGGGGCGAGAGGGGTGGGCCACACCATCGGCCTGCTGCTGAAGAGCTTTCCTGCTGCCCTGGCCAGCCCTGGACTGGTCCTGGCCACTGTTGCCAGCTTCCTGGCCAGCAAAGAGTGAGCAGGAGCCCTACATGGCTCCTACAGTGGGTCCTACAGGACCCTACAGGGGTCCACTGCCTCTCCCTCACCTGTGTGCAGGTACCAGGCTCACCTGGCCAATCCCCACAATTCCAGGCCACTTACTTTATTCTTTTTTGAGACTGAATCTTGCTCTGTCACCCAGGCTGATGTACAGTGGCGTGATCTCGGCTCACTGCAACATCCGCCTCCCAGATTCAAGCGATTCTCCTGCCTCAGCCTCCCAAATAGTTGGGAGTATAGGCATTCACCACCAGGCCCAGCTAGGTTTTGTACTTTTAGTAGAGACGGGTTTTACCATGTTGGCCAGGCTGATCTCAATCTCTTGACCTTGTGATTTGCCCGCCTTGGCCTCCCAAAGTGCTGGGATTACAGGTGTAATCCACTGCACCTGGCAATTCCAGGCCACTTTCATCACTGTGTGGCTGTGAACAAGCCCTGGACCTCTTAAGCATCTGCCCTGCCCCCATATAATTATGAATAAGGCTCAGACCTGCTGGCGGATGGGAAAAGGCTTCTGAACAGTGCCTGGCAGGGTGGTGGGAGGGCTGACTCTCAGGTGGGAGGGCTGGGCTGGCTCCCTCTTGCCTCTTACCTCCCAATGCTACAGTCCTTCTTGGCAGCTACTACATGCCAAACATGTCACACAGATCATTCCACTGTGCCCCTACCCTAAACCTCAGAAGGGAGCATTATTGACTCCATTTCGCAAATGAGGACATTGAGGGTCAGAGAGCTTCAACAG